TTGAAAAGAAGAGAGAGAAAAATACATTTTGATAAAAATAGATGCCAAACAGGGCCTTAATTAGACAAACAGGTCTTTTCCATCAATTAAATGTTTGCTCTACTTGTACAATTGAAGTCAAGGTCTTTGCTATTGCACATTTGCACTCCATGATTCCAAGTTCGGGTAACACGTTTGATTGAGCAAGACTTGATATTCTACAATGTTAGATGGAAATTAAAAATAATAAATTAATTTTATTCACTTTGAAACTTAAGTTCTTTATGTTAATAAAAAAAGGGCGAGGGGTGGGGTGGGGGGGGGGCTTCTTGTGCATATCTAAACAAATTATGCCTAACACCAAGAAGCAATATAATTTAGTGTCTATTTGGTAGGAATGATTTGAAGTGAAAATTATTTTTTGGAGAGCGGATGATAAAAAAGTTATAAATCAATATGCAGTTAAGAATGAACTTAGGATGAGATTTTCTTTTTTTTTTTCTAAATAAATTGTGTCAAAGCAAATGCTTAGCCCCATTTGGTTTCTATTAAATTAAATTTTATTTTTTTCTCTCCTATTTTTAATCGCACAATCTTTCATAAATTAATATTAAACGTAAATAAAAAACTTTTTTCTTTCTTTTTTTTTTCAACCACTTATTTAAAAAAAAATACTATTACATCCATTATAATTTGAAAAAATGTGGACCAAACGGGAGCTTAATAAATTAGTTTCATGTTTTGGTGCAGACAGCTACGAGAGAGTCTTATTTTCAACTCTAAACAAAAATTGTTCCTACATACAAGTCTATTGAAATATATACTTTTGCTACCCAACCCATGAATAATAATTAAATTCAATTCACACTTATCCACATCAAAAATTCTGAACCATGGACATTGTATCATGATCTGTGGAATTCAAGAGCCAGTGCTTGCTTGGGTTTTATTATAAATTGTTGAAATTATAATGTGAGAAGAACAAGGGGTAAATGAGTGTATAGTATTTATGTGTTTCATGAAGTTCCTGTTTGAACTTCATTATCTAAGAACTTATTTTTTCTCAAACTCATATTTTAAATTCTCCCAGGAAAAATAATTTTCACGAAATATTTTCATACTTTTTAATTACATATTCTTCAAAAATTTATTATTAAAAAACTCACGTATTCGTGAAAAAAAGAGCTCAAACAGGGGCAAAAGTCAAACTCTACATTTGCATAGTATTGAACTCGGGATGTGATGGAGCTTGAGGACCAACTAAATGAGAGCGATGTATTATTACATTTAACAAATGGCTCGATTTATACTTATATTCAGAGTTTGCACTCAAAGTCACCAAAGTAACATTCCTAACGAATACCATGGATAGACTAAAAATTGTGCACACTTGTTATGTAAATATTCAAGCCTCTTTGATAATGCTTTTGAAAAGTTAAAAAATGCTTCCGCCCACAAGAAGCTTCTTTTATGTATATTTTGATTATTTTAAAAGGTATTTTTTTAAAGCTCTTCCATAAAAATAGATTGCAAGCCCATGTTTGGAAAGTATTAAAATTAAAATTTTAGTATATTTTGATAAAAATTAATAAAGCCCATACTTGGTGAGAATCAAAATCAGATTTTTAGTAAAATTTTGATAAAATATATGATTGAAATGTTTTGGATCCTATAAAACTTATGGTTAAAATTAACCCCCGTTTGATCCTCATTTTCAGTCACACATTCTCTTATAAAATAATTTTAATAACATATTCTTCAAATAATCATTGTTCAATAACACATTTTTCCCAAAAAAAAAAAAAAAAAAAAGGTCTCAAACAGGAGCTAATTGTTGACTTTTGGCTTAACTAAAATCTTGGAGCTTGTTTGATATAACTAAAAAATAAATTAAAATCAAATTTTTTTATCGTTATTTCACTATTACAGTCGTGATTTTAAAATTCTTCTCTTACAGGTAGAATTCACTTTATCTCTAATGATCAAAAAATTAAATAATCAAAATTCATACAAAACAAGCACTAGATTTTCATTTTCAAGGGAGCAAAATGCGTAGTTGAAAAAGTTATGGATCTGAATAAATTTAGATTCCAATTCCTCCAATTAACAGAAATTTGACCAAAACTGCCCACTGGGGTCATTATATATTTTCTCCGAAATTGCCGCGCCATGTTCTTCTGTTTCTCTTACGTTGAAAGGAAAGTTCTGAAGGAAAAAGGACCGCGTTAAAACTTTCAAACCGTGTTCGATTACTCGGTTTTTCCTCGTCCCATGTTCCCCGCTGGGCGCATATATAATTGAAAATTATGTATCTAAAATGACTTCAATTTGCCGTCATCAAATGGAGGCTGTACTGCTCGAGCTGTGATTTGAGCAAATGGAAAAGCTAATACCAAAAGAGTTCGATTTGTCGAACAAGGACCGGTCGGATGAGGCTCTCATGCGTTGGCGAAAGGCGGTTGGACTTGTGAAGAATCGCCGCCGCCGCTTCCGTTATGCCGCCGATCTTGCAAAGCGTTCTGAAGCCAAAGCGCAGATGCTAAAAATCAGAGTATGTGCATTTTCTTTTTCTTTTTCGTCTCTCTCATCAGAAAAAAAAATAAATAAATAAAACAACATCACACATAAGGATTCTTTAGTTTTCTCATTGTCTTTCTTGAATTGTTGTGTTAACAAAACAAGTATTGTTAACAAAATCTTTAGTATTAGCTCACAATATCATATGATTTCTTTTCTCGTGTGTGAAATTAGAACGTTCTTCTTTGATATATTACCTTTTTCAAAACAACTGAAAGTAGAGTTCAGTTCTAATCAGGAAGGGTTCACATTGATCTTTAAGCCCCCGTTTGGTCACTTTAAATTCAATTAAATTATATTTTATTTTTTTCTCTCCTATTTTCAATCACACAATCTTCCATAAAATAATATTACACGTAAATCGAAAATTTTTCCTTTTTTTCAATCATTCATTTTTAAAAAAAATACTATTTTTCATTTTCAAAAAATGGTGGCCAAACGGGAACTTAACGTGTCTGCGATGTACGGAATTCCAATACCAACGTCATGTAAAAATAGGAGTCCCATTAAAACAACCTGGTCCAAGTATTCCAGGTTAATAATATAATATAATCATGGGCCATAACTTTACCGTCAAAATTTGCTTGTCCCCTTGAATAGAAATAGTAACCCCATCTTCTCGATCAAGAAAGTATAGTGGGGGCCCTCTACGTTTGAACTTTAAGCCCCTGTTTGACAAACATTATATGGGAAAAACAATATTGAAAATAGTGATTTCAATATTATCAAGTGACATTTTTTAGAATGTTCAATTTTAAGCGTATGAGTTAAAAAGTATCTACTCATTTGAATTTAATATCAACCTGTTTATTATGCATTTTAATGAAAAGCTACATTTTAAAATGATATTCTAGACATTTAAATATCGTTCTCGATTTTTTATTTTTTTATCAATTTATCACGAATTTTGAGAAGTGACTTCCATGAGAAGTTACATTAAAATAATATTTCTCGACATTTCATATGTCATTCTCGATATTTGAACACCATTTCATTTGTTTAGAATAACATTTCATTTTGAACATGACATTTTTTTACATTTAAAAATATCGTTCTTAACATTTCTGAATCAATAAAAAATACAGCATTTATTGTGATTTGATATGTATATTTTTTGAAATAAATATGGCAGGTTATATATCAAAATTTTATTAGCCAATAACAATATTGCAAAAATGTCCATTTTTTTGTCTTAGTGTGTGGAATTATAAATTGTTAATAAGGGTATTTTGATTTAAATTCTTCCAGATTAGATATTTTAGCAATGGTGGACATTTTTACAAATGATTAGGTAAAAATGGACATTTTGTAAAATTTCCTCTATTTTCACTAGTGATTTTCAGGAGAATGTGTGATTAAAAATTTTGAAAAAATTTTGAGTTTACGTGCAAAATATTTTATTAGATGAACGCATGATTGAAAATGAGATTGTGAAAAAAAAAAAAAAAAAAAAAAGGTTTTCAAATAATTTTTGTATAAGAGGGGCAAATGATGAGATGAGGATATACTGTATTAGGTTGTCTTGACATGTGAAAAGTTGGACAAGATGGATTTGAATTAGCAAGAAGATTCCACATGTTAAAAGATAGATTATTACAGAACTTTCAGAAAAATGATACTGGAGACCACATGATGATTTGTAAACTTTCTTGTTTGATCCTATTTTCGACTATGATTGTACAAGTTGATAATAATAAATAATAAAAAAATGCCAAAATAATACTAATTTTGATGCATGGAATCAAACAGGCATGCTGATTGTGGTTCCCTTTCGACTTAATCAATAAGTTTTGGCGACCTTTTGTTGTATAAAGTTCTTACTATTCCTAAAATGTTGAGAAGAACTCCAGGCCTTTGTGAATATAACCAGCTCTTTGCAGCAGTCTGCAGCTATGTTCTACTGTGCACTTTTTGTTACCTAATAATGCTTGTTCGTTTTCCTAATTTATTCCCCAGGAACGTTTGCGCGTTTGTTTTTTGGCATATAAGGCAGCGTTCAGGTTTATCGAGGGTATACCTCTACTATAGATATCTTGGTTTTACTTCAAAGTCTTGTTCCCATCATTAGTACTTAAATTTCTTCCTTGGGCAGCTGGTGGGCAAGGTAACCAATTTTCCTCTGAAGAGGCTATAGACTCCCAGGAAGAAGATATTCAAAATGACCTCCAAGAAGAGGCTAGAGAAGCAGGGTTTCAAATTCACCCCAATAAACTTGCTTCGCTTGTTGCTTCTTATGACATCACGACCTTAAGAAAGCTCAAAGGAGTTGAAGGACTTGCAAGTCGATTGAACGTTACATTGGATGAAGGAGTTGATTGTTCTAGTATACCTATCAGGAAAACTGTTTTTGGCTCCAATGAATACACCGAAAAACCTTCCAAAAGTTTATGGTTGTTTTTGTGGGATGCTATGCATGATACGACACTTATAATCCTTACGGTTTGTGCTGTTGTCTCTATAGGTGTGGGACTTTCCACTGAAGGTTGGCCAAAGGGAATGTATGATGGTTTAGGAATCATACTTAGTGTATTCTTGGTTGTCTTGGTTACTGCAGTTAGTGATTACAGGCAATCATTGCAGTTTAAGGAGTTGGATAAGGAGAAGAAAAAGATTTTTATCCATGTCACTAGGGACGGGACTCGACAAAAAGTCTCCATACATGACTTGGTAGTTGGGGATATTGTTTATTTATCAATAGGAGACCAGGTTCCAGCAGATGGAATATTCATATCAGGCTACAACTTGTTGATTGATCAGTCGAGCTTGACTGGAGAAAGTCTACCAATAAATATATATGAAAAAAGACCTTTTCTTTTAACTGGAACAACAGTTCAAGACGGGTCAGGTAAGATGCTGGTGACTACAGTCGGTATGAGAACCGAATGGGGTAAGTTATTGGATACTCTAAACGAGGGAGGAGAAGATGAGACCCCTTTACAGGTGAAGCTCAATGGTGTTGCCACTATTATTGGTAAAATCGGACTGGCATTTGCCGTGATGACTTTTTTAGTGTTGACAGTCAGATTTTTGGTGGAGAAAGGACGACTTCATGAACTTACCCAATGGTCTTCCCGTGATGCTCTAACACTTTTGAATTACTTTGCTACTGCAGTGACTATAATTGTTGTTGCAGTTCCCGAAGGACTTCCCCTGGCTGTGACACTAAGCCTTGCTTTTGCAATGAAGAAATTATTGACCGAAAAGGCGCTAGTGAGACATCTCTCTGCATGTGAGACAATGGGTTCTGCTACTTGCATTTCAACCGATAAAACAGGGACTCTGACTACGAACCATATGGTGGTGAATAAAGTATGGATATGTGGAAAAGAGAAAGAGGTAGATAGTAATGCAGATAGGAATGCCTTAGATTCAGATATATCAGGAAATGTATTAGCCATTCTCTTGCAGGCAATATTTAATAATACAGGATCCGAGGTTGTCAAGGATAAAACCGGAAAGCGAACTATTTTCGGGACACCGACAGAATCAGCATTGCTAGAGTATGGATTGCTTCTAGGTGGTGATTTTTATGATCAACGCCGGGAGTGCAAGTTGTTGAAGGTCGAACCTTTCAATTCGCACAAGAAAATGATGTCCACTCTTGTGGCTCTTGGAAATGGCAAAATGCGAGCTTTTTGCAAAGGCGCATCTGAGATTATACTGAAAATGTGTGACAAAACCATTGATTCCAATGGTGAAGCCTTTCATTTGTCAGAAGAACATGTAGGAAATATCATGAATGTCATCAATGCATTTGCTGGTGAAGCGTTGCGTACTCTCTGTTTGGCTTTTAAGGATATTGAAGACGGTTTTCAAGAAAATAGCAGCATTCCTGATTGTGGCTATACTTTGATTACAATAGTGGGAATCAAAGATCCAGTTCGCCCCGGGGTAAAGGAAGCAGTTAAGAGTTGTGTAGAAGCTGGAATTTATGTGCGAATGATCACTGGAGATAATATTAACACGGCTAAAGCAATCGCTAAAGAATGTGGCATACTTAATGATAATGATCTTGCTGTAGAAGGTCCTGTTTTTCGCCTTGAAACTCCAGAAGAGATGAGCCGGATGATACCAAACATTAGGGTGGGCAAACACTATATTTATTAATCCATAGAAATAATGGGTGAAACTTATAAATTTTCGTCTCAAGTGCTTATATCATGAATGCAGGTCATGGCTAGGTCATCACCTCTCGACAAACATGTTCTGGTGCAGATGTCAAGAAAGGAGCTTAAAGAGGTTGTTGCTGTCACTGGTGATGGGACCAACGACGCCCCTGCTTTACATGAGGCAGACATTGGATTTGCCATGGGCATAGCAGGAACCGAGGTATGTCCATATGTTTATTTTGCTTCACAGATTTATTGTTTTTTTATATGTCTTGTTTTCTTGTTGAATATGATTACTAAGCATCAATAAAAATCGTCCTCAGGTTGCGAAAGAAAGTGCTGATGTAATTGTAATGAATGACAACTTTACGACAATCGTGAACGTGGCAAAATGGGGACGTTCTGTATACATAAACATTCAAAAGTTTGTGCAGTTCCAGTTGACAGTTAATATTGTTGCTCTTATGATTAATTTCATATCTGCATGCATCTCAGGTACTACTATTGCGGCTCTATTTGATTCTCATTTTTTACATAATACATTTTTCTCTCTCTTCTTTTCAATCACACATTCTTCATTAAAATAATATTACACGTAAATAAAAAACTTTTCCTTATTTTTCAACGATACATTTCCCATCAATCTATCGTTTTAAAATGCATTTTTTCATAAAAATGGGCTCAAACACCCTTTTAATATCAGCATTAGCAGACGAGCTTGGTAGAATGAGTGGGGAAAGAAGACTCTGTTGAGCTAGACTCTACTGTGGTCAGACTTTTTCAAACAACGAACTTATTATTTACTTTGTTTATCAATTTCAGGATCAGCACCTCTTACAGCAGTGCAATTGCTTTGGGTCAACCTAATTATGGACACTTTAGGAGCACTTGCACTGGCCACTGAACCTCCACATGATGGACTGATGAAGAGGCCTCCTGTTAGAAGGACAGAAAATTTCATTACAACCCCCATGTGGAGGAATATCATTGGTCAGAGCATTTATCAACTGGCAATCCTTTTAGTGCTAAATTTTGATGGGAAGAAAATATTGGGACTTGAAGGTTCTGATGCTAGTGCAATACTAAATACTTTCATATTCAACACCTTTGTGTTTTGTCAGGTAATAAATGTTTTTAATTTAATTGATTTACTTGGGGTTTAACTCAATGTTTCCACAGTATATGTTTGCATTTTCTTCTCATGAAAATTCCAAGTAGCAATTTGGTTTCAACATTTAAAGAGGAGTTAATCTGTCCTCAATCTTTCATAATAGATGAACAAATTATTCCCTTGGTGTCAAAACCTTCCAATTCGTTGTTTAATCGTCATATGACGCTAACGGGAAAATGTCTCAAATCAAATTTTTTGGCACCATCCCAAGTTTGAGAATGCACGCCAGCATTGTAAAGATGGATACGTGAGGTTCACAGGACAATATATTTAAGACTCGAAAAATTTTGGTTTTTGAGAATTGATTGTGCAAGTATAATGAAATATTGAATACTAACATAATCCTTAACCAACTTGCTACTTAATGTGTTGTTGGACTGAACAGGTTTAAGGAAGAAAGACATGTCCAGTAATTGAAGAGCATAGAGATGGATTACATTTATCACTAAATGCAGGTTCATTTCTGACATACTTTGTTTGGTTTGGTTTATTTAGGTCTTCAATGAAATAAATAGCCGGGAAATCGAGAAGATAAACATTTTCCGCGGAATACTTAGAAACTGGATATTCACAGGAATCATTGCATCCACAGTAGTATTCCAAGTAATTATAGTTGAATTCCTGGGCACTTTTGCCAGCACTGTTCCATTAAACTGGCAACTATGGATACTCTGTGTAGCACTTGGAGCAGTAAGCATGCCTATTGCAGTTGTTTTGAAATGCATTCCTGTTGACAAAAAGTCTCCTAATTCTACACAACATGATGGTTATGATCCTCTCCCATCGGGTCCAGAGCTCGCTTGATTGGTTCTTCAAGTTTCTTCGAATAAAAAATAATAAGTGCATGGTAAGTAATAACATTGGTAAGGTCGATTAATATGAACGAACTATATAATATCTGAACAATCTATCTCTACGTACCAAACATCCTTTTACTTTCTCCCCTCCGCCATTGCCTGCTTGTAATTTATGGGGAAAATAAACGTAAACATCTTTGTATAATTCTCTTGATTTTTGTTTTGAGTTTCTTGTCTGTCTATTTCTGTATTCATATTCTAGGTTAGGATTTGAGTATTGAATAAATGTTTGTATGCTTTCTCTATATTAATAAAACTCTCATATTGTGTACTACTTAAATTACACTCAGTAATTTTGCTTACTTCAGAAGTATAAATAATATGGCCATGTTTACATTCTTAAATAGTGATTTGACATTATTTTAACAACACATTCTTACATAAAATAATATAACATGTAAATTCAAAACATTTTCTTATTTTTTAACCCTAAATTTCTCATCAATACACTATTCAAAAATGTATTTTTATGAAAATAATGTGATTAAGCAAGGGCTGTATATATAGAAGAAAAGCACAAATCCCCATAAATATCGTACCTATATGCACCATGTCTCAACCAATATCGTATTTAATTTTCAACAACCAAATTCAGGCATAGCTGCAAATATATAACAATGCTATAAATACAAATTTTTTTTGTACAGAAAGAGAGATAGATCTCTTCCTATAATTGGCTAGTATTATGCTATTTGTACAAAGTGTGTTTACAAAATTGGTTGACAAAATCCAGGTCATTAATTTTCAATGATTTAAAAATCTGTTTTTGAAATGATTTGTATAAATATTACTTTGTTAACCAACTTTGTACATATAGCATAACTCAACTGGTTGTTGACAAAAACGACAACAACAAATCACATGAAGATAACTATCTTCCTATACCAATTCTGTTAAAAAAAATCTGAACTTGCAAATTAATTGACAAATATACGAAAATAACCTCAAAAGTCTCAATACCTGAATGTCATTCAAAGGCAAACCATCCAATAAAATCCCAGAAGCAAGCATCAGGGACTCAAATGGTCAAAGAAAAAATGTATTGCGTAAATACCATTCCCACATCAAGAATTCATTACAAGTAATTAAATTATCTCATCTCCCTCTTGTACAATAAAATTTCTCGACCAGCCAATCGCCTACGGTAAAAAATAGGAACTACAAATTACAAAAAAATCATTTGTACCTACGCTTGGATTCTCCATAAGCAACAACCCCCATAACGGTCATAGAATATCCAGCAATGCCAATGAAGGTAACAGGATTTCGGAAAAGGAGAATTGAAATGACAACGGCCACAGCTCCTTTTGCATTGCCCAATACCTGATCATAATTCAGACCGTAGAAAAAGATTCAGATAGTGGGATTATCCAATATACAGATAATTACAGTTCTTGACGATTTCTGCAAAACATTTTGACTTACTTCTATAATTACACTCGTGATATCCATTATTCTTCAAACTTCATTACTTTCACTCTAGACTAGATACTATACGAGCATCAGACATACCCATACCCAAAGTTAAGAGTCTTGTCACTGAGTTCTTTTTCTTTTGATCATGATGTTAATGAATTCTGGGTCACCGGCTCCTAAATTTGAAAATTCAACTTAGATCCAAACCTGTATAGATTCTTATCTATGAATTGTCTACAAAGTCTTCTTTGCCAACACGTTAAAGTTTATTATATTTCATATATGCCTATCCAATGTAGTTTAGCCACCACCAGAAGAAATAAATGAATTGCTACTTTTTATTCAAGAGAGAGAGAGAGAGGGAGGGAGGACCTGGAGAGTCAATGCACTCGTATGCTTTGTCACCAAGAAATTGCACAAGTTGGCTCCATAAGCCATCGATGAATTAAGCAATAGTAGTACCCACATGAATTTATGTTCCAATGCAAGTGATATAGTTACGTCCCATACGTTGGGCTCCATTGTAAGTGCTGCAGGAAGTAATACCACTACAGCGATTGGGGACATATAAAGTAACAAATTCATGGAGTTTAACTTTTCCCTGCAACAATGTGTGTGTGTGATATAAGCCAATTGTGAACTTGAACTTTAGTGTGTCAGATATATCGAGGAGTACTTTTGAATTCCAATACTACAAATGATAAAATAATTTAGCACTTCTAAATGTCTAACAAATCAAAGATGAAGAAAACAAAATTCTGTAAAAAAAAAAAAAAAAAAAAAAACACGTAGTTCATTGCTTCTCCTTCACATTCTCATTGTAGATGAACAGAACTAGAGCTTGAAGTTGTTCGACGTCCAAATTGTTACTTCATATAGGAAATAATAACGATGCATCTAGAGCATGTTCATTTGTGCTTAAAAGTATGTCAAACGTTAAGTTACTTATATTTCGAAACATTATTTTCAGATTTGCTTTTCTTTAATAACAAAACTCAATTTTCTGGAAAATCGTAACTCGATGGCAACGTAACATCCAAGCACAGCCAAATATGTTCGTGATACTATATACACAGATCAGGAATATTTACCCTTCGCTAGAAAGGAGGACCCCCTGAAGAACAGACTTAAAAGCTCTCGCTGCAGTAGCACTTATGCACATGATAAATCCATACAAATGGAAGCTTGGCTCACCCTGCAAACAATTAAAAACTTTTGGATCTTGCAATTTCACAAAAGTGGACATTGTGTTAAGTGAATTTGTCGACGAATATAGAGTTGAACAGATTTGGTCACATAGAATATATAGTTGAACAGATTTGGTCAAATACTCACAGAACATTTTGCTTGCTCAATACTAGATTTAGGAGAAGAAAAGGTTAAACGATCGACTTCAATTACATGCGGAGATCAAATTGGAAGCTAAAGCAGCAAAAACTTGAGGGGTTTCAGTAGATACTAAAAGAGTAAAAGAAAAGTTGAACTCCGAATCTTTTATGCAAATACATAGCATTATAGTGTGGCAAAGAAACTGTATTCCTTAAACATTCGCAAACATTGCAACAACTCCTAGCACGTCCCACGGTTAGGATTTCACAACAAATATTCACATATATATAAGCATGACAACAAGTATAATCTTTTTAAAAATTTCAAACTTCATGTTATCATGAAATTGGAGATCATCTACATTATATTATACATTTCATTAGAAACTACAGACAAAATGATAAATCAATGAAAATAAATCCATATGCACAATGTTTGTAACTTATACTGCAAACCCAAATCTTAACGCCAATATTTTAGATCTGACATTCATTTCTGAAACAGACAGTCTAAAATAACCCCAGCAATAAATAACCTCCGATATACAATACCCACCAAGAAAAATTGGATCTTTTCCACATGACCCCAGATCACGATAGAAATATCAAAATGAAGCATGATATCTTAGTTTCACATACAGATCTCCTTATATGTAACCCCAAATTAAAACCAAGATATAAGGAAAAAACAATTTGAAAATTAAAATTAATCTTTTTTCACACAGAAACCCAAATCAAGCTAAAATTGATTGAAAAATGAAAATCAGTTTAATCCCAAAGATTCAGAGAAAAAAAAAACGTACCCCACTTGCAATGACAACCCCAGCAACCACAGGCACAAGACAAGCATAAGTAACCCAAGCCTCCCTTTTAAGGGTCATAAAATAAGCAAACAGTGCAGTGAAAAATGGAGTGGTTGCACCGATAGCCTGATTAAATGACACCGGCAAAAACTTTAAGGAAATATTACCACCCACAACAGACCCACAAAATACGACGCTGAGAGTTGCAATCCTGAAAAACTGGGACCTTGATTTGATCCTCTGTAGCGGCACTACTTTCAAGAAAACAATGGAGATGTAGCTGAGGATAGCACAGGCTGACATGTGGCACATAGTGAGGAAGATCGGGAAGGCAAATCCATAGTTGGAGAGCAAAAATTTGTTGAGAAGGAGGACTCCAATGTTTGTAGAGTACCATAGGATTATCAAACTGAATATGAAAAATGCATCTTTTCTTGATATTGAGGATGAAGATAACGCCGACATTTTTTATGTTGGATTCTTCGATTTGTTGTTCCAAGGGGGATTTTCATTACATTGATTTCATTTGGGAATCTGGAACTGTGATGGGAATAGGGATGTAAACGAGCCGGGCCGAGCCGGTTCGCGAGCCTAAAATTTCGGCTCGGGCTCGGCCCGGTTAAAATGACCGAGCTTTTTTGCGGGCTCGAGCCGGGCCGAGCAAAAGCTCGGCAAAAAAAAAGGGCTCGGCCCGAGCTTTGAGTTGCAATCCTGAAAAACTGGGACCTTGATTTGATCCTCTGTAGCGGCACTACTTTCAAGAAAACAATGGAGATGTAGCTGAGGATAGCACAGGCTGACATGTGGCACATAGTGAGGAAGATCGGGAAGGCAAATCCATAGTTGGAGAGCAAAAATTTGTTGAGAAGGAGGACTCCAATGTTTGTAGAGTACCATAGGATTATCAAACTGGATATGAAAATTGCATCTTTTCTTGATATTGAGGATGAAGATAACGCCGACATTTTTTATGTTGGATTCTTCGATTTGTTGTTCCAAGGGGGATTTTCATTACATTGATTTCATTTGGGAATTTGGAATTTTGATGGGAAGAAAATGAAGAAGAAAATTAGGTGACAGAAGAAAATTGCATCTTTTTTTTTTTTTTTTTTGGGTATCTGTGTATTTTCTTGGTCACGTATTCTTGGATTTGGAATGTAGGGTGGAAACAATAGAGAATGAGCCTGTCTGCTTGACAATAGGAGTGAAATTAGGGGGTTATTTATATATAAATTTTTAATATAAATTCGGATTTTTTTTTGGGACGGCTATTGAAAATTCTATATAGACGAATAGCTAACGAAGCTTGTGATAATTTCAAAAGCACTTAAAGGTAGTTTTGGAATGAAAAATGCCACATATACAAAGGTATGATTTATAGAATTTTTATAGAATACTCACACGGAGTGGACCTCATATGATTAAAATATTATTAAAAAATATCACCCCTCCCATGTGTGCGTCCTGTATAGACCTGTGAAGTAGGGACTGTACTTGTAGCTCAACTCGTTTGGAATCACCCGAACAGGAAATAGAATTAGGGTCGAGCAAACTGATCTAATTTTGATTGTACAATTGGATCTTAAATTTTAGAAAAATAACATTTGAGGAAGGGAAATTATGTAGATTTTGGGACTATTTATATTTATTTTGTTTATTTTTATATATAAAAGTTGGCTAAATTTTTAAAGAAAAATATGGATAGTAACGTAGTTATAAATTTTATA